TGCATTTTAATCTAACATTATCAAAAATTAAAATGCAATAAAAATTAAAATTTTAATAAAAATTTCTCAGAGCCCCAATTTTCCTAGCAAACCTCACATATGTCAAACTTGGAGACTACCGTTTTTTTAGTTGCGTTGTTGCTTACCGTAGAGTTTAAATTAAAATACAATGTATGTTGGCGGCTGAACTTCATCAAGTATTATGGATCTTATGCAATCATCTGAATATGATGTAAATTGCGATTTGATTTCCATATCAGGTAATGGCAGCACGTGTCTTAAATGATTTTTAATTATATAGATACTCGAATTTAGAGTTAAATTCTATTGTAAACCATACACCTTAATTTCAATGTTTATATCTTCTACTTATAATGTATGAACAAATTCGACTACTAGCAGAAATATTCATATTAAGTACTGAATATTTGGACTTTTTTCCTTACGAAAGCGTATTATTATGTTACTTTAATATTATTTGTGCAAAAACAAGTATATTGCCTCTACTTCCAACTTATGAATAAACTCGGCTACCTGTAGTAATATTCCCTTAGAAAAATACTTTGAATAAGTTTCTTACGGAAAGTGGTCTTTATAATTATGACTCTTTAATGTTTAATAATTATGGTCACGTTGATAAGAATACATATTTTCATTTAAAATGTTTCATATTATTAAAGACGATTTGAATATGCCTCAGAAATTCTGTAACCTTGTCCAATAACTCTTAAGCAAAAAGGTAAGTTATAGAAAGAATCTAAATTTTAGTCATTGCCATGTTCATGTACCTATTAAATGGAAAGATTAATAATTACAAGTACTAAGTAGGTAATTTCAGTGATCGTTGCGGTATTGACGATTGATTTCTGGCGGATCTGTTGGAATTAGAATTATCGGTCGAACCCAATTGGAATATATATATTAAATATTTGACATCAGGGATCATTTCCGTCATCAAATTTGATATTTTTAAGGAATTCCGTAACAAACCATGGAAAAAAGCATTAGATATAAAAATGCTTTGTTTTTGCTCTTGAATTTCGATAGGATTTGAATTAGATATCTCTATTCACCAAAGGCCTATTACAGAGAACCGGCTAAGGCAATAATAGTTGATTTATTGTTGCATGTCTTATTTTATTATTAATATACCATTCTTTTTTATTCTTTCTAAACCAGATTATTCTTTACATTGATCAACATCGCGCCATATCGAACATGCGATCGAATCAGAAAAAATAAATAATTAATTCTAATTATCTGCCTTAAGAAAATAGGAGGTAACATGGGATTTACCAAGAGTAAATTTTTATTAACGTAAAGATTTACTGATGCTCGAGGAATCTTTATCTTCTACATTACTGCATCGGTTTTTTTTATCTGATATTTCTTTTTTGATGTATTTTCTCATTCGGTTTTCTTTTATATAGGTCGGTGTTAGTAAAGTTATAATAACTTATGGAACACAACTTCTTCATCGTCCTCAAAAGGAAGAAAGAGAAATGCAACAGATATTATTAAGCACTTTATCTCTGGTGCTATAGCAGTTCCTGATACTGACAAAGAAGTACCTTTAAAGACAATAGATCTATGATATTCTGTGAAATCAGAATGTAATGATATGCAAACTTGGATAGGAAAATTACTGAAGGGAAAGTGTCTCGATGCAGAGATGTACTGAAACCTGCATAATTGGCTTGCATATGGTTTAAAATATTTAGTCAATGCCATACCATGATGGATGTTACCATTTAATATTTGACAAAAAATAATGATAATTAAAGATGCGTAAAAATTAAATGTAATGAAAGTAAGTCTTACAGTAAGTCTTATTATAACTTTATTTAATTTTTATTATTTTTCAACTTAATTAAACAAAATTGGTTATATTACATTTTTAAATGTTTGGAATTATTTACGTTTATTAACATTAAAAGTTAGAAATCTACTTTAACGAATGTATTTTCAAACCTTTATCGCAAGTATCTCGTTAGAGACCACTAAAGGAGCATGATTTAAATGGGGATATTTTAACGAAACATCATGTATTTACACTTTAATTCAAATACGGATTTAATCAAATATATATAATATTGTTTATTTTAAAAAAAATCGGTTGTAGTGTTGATTTTGCATGTATATCGGCAATAATTGTGGTGAATTACATCATCGTTTTTTGAATTTAGGTAGATGCGGATCAATGTACCACAATGTTTGAAGTAAGCCGTTCCATGATTTTTTAGCCAAGATCATTATGTAAATCACCTTTCCACCAACATATTTTCTTCGAAAAATAATTGATTTCGGTAAATTAGCGTCATCAATCTGTTCGATTATATATCTCAATATCTCTTTGTTCAATCGAATTTAGATTAGGCACAAAATTTATTATATACATCTCCGAACGTAAAACAATCATCAATCCTTGGCACTTTTGGTCCTACTAAAGTTTTTACTCTTCTACTGCACTCATAATTAAACGAAAACTCATTAAAAGTATGTCTTTTATATCGGAAATTATTTGTAAAAAATTTTTAAAATTTGCATAATTTAATGATTAAATGTTTTTCGCGTTTATGCATAATTAATTTCGCTAAAGTAAAATATTTATCATTACATATTAGAACATAGAAGATTATCAGACATGATTATCATTTGACTGTTGTTGGGGGGTTAAACATAGTATTCACTCGGAATGGCCTAACAAGTTGATCTCATTTTTCTGAAAAAAAGTCACTTCCGAAGCTCTTAAAGTACGACATCCTGAGATTGAGGTAATTATAATGCTTTGAATATCTTCCTACTCATGAGACTATCACTTTGAACGTTATTTTGAGATTCGAGACCGATTTTGAAATAAATTTTAGTATTTTAGTTTAATTAATGAATTCCACAAATAAACTGACTTTTAATAGAAAATGCGATAAAAAGTTGCAATCTCAAGAAGTACATTTTAATATAATTGCGAGTTTATTAAAATTTTATATAACTTTATAATAAAATATATCATTTTTTGATTAACTCATTAGAATCGCGAGTTAAAAATCACTCACTCGAATCATGATAAATTCGAGTTATTAGTTGACGAGTTTAATATAAGAAAGGCAAATAAATAAAATAAAGTAAACTTAAATTCACATATAAAAAATTTTTAAAACCGCATTTTATAGGAAAATTTCAACTATTATTTTTTTTTTTTTTTTAAAAAAAAAACGAATTATGAAAATAAGTACTTGTTCATATTCTTTAATAAGAATAAATGTCTAAAAAGAATATTTCTTAAATACTTAGTATTAATAAAATGAATGAATCATGATTGTTGATTATCATCAATATATCCTTGTTGAACAGCAAATGAGCATATGATAAGGTTGCATTTGACTCTTATCACCATTGCGACAATTGAAAGTTGCCCACTCTAATTTAGATTTGGAAAGATTTTCTCTTAATGAATACCCCTTCAACTTCTTTTTAATAAGTACCAAATTATTATGTTTGTTTTGAGAGCACAAATTCGAATCGTTAGGTAAACTATGTATTGAAAATATATGTTCACTAATATCTTGTTGCTTGGGAGTATCATAATGCCAAGGTAGGGTATAAATGATGGTAAAGGATAATCTAAGAAATTATTTTAATTTTTGGAGGATATTTATAAACTGTACTGTACAATCAGGTGAACTGCACTGTACGAAAGTTATTACAACCAATCATATTTTATTGTACGAGAATTATACAAAATCAAAAAAATATACAATGAAATATTATTGGTTACAATCACTTTCGTAATATATTTACCTTAATTTTTGAATTATCATTAATAGCGCATTTTGATGCAGATCTTGAGTTTATACATTAAAAAATAAGGTTTATGGATTGAATTTGCAAATGAAATAAAATAGCGACCGTTATAAACATTATAAACACGACTTTACTTTACATTAATCAACGTCCGAACTGAGCATTAAAAAAAAAAATAAAATAAAATAAAATAATTTTTATTCTCTGAATAGTTAAAACTCTAATTTTTTAAGAAAACTGTTGGGACATTAATATTGTAAATTCAATATATAGTACAATTGTAGTATATAGTGTTGGAACTGGCCCAAAAATCCTTAATCGGTTAATTAACCGGTTAAGACGTTATTTTGTTAACCGGGTAAAATATTAAGTTTTAACTCTGGCCAAAATTTGATTTTCAGGTAGAATTAACTTTTTTTGTGATTGCTAAATTTGCCCAAATTTATAGTGCCGGCCTGAGTTAAATTTAACCGGTTAATTAACCGGTTAAGGATTTTTGGGCTCCTATACTACATAGTATTTATTTAGTTATTTAATTTAGTTATTAGAGCAAATTAAGACTGAATATCAAAATATAGACTTTATTATAATATTTAAAAATTGAATGTTCAAGTCCTTTATATTTTATATATTTATATATTTAACATAGTTATGGTTTGTTAAATAGGAATAATATTTTTAAAGGTCAATTTTTGAAACAAACTAACTACAGTACATATTTATAAGTAAAATAGTTATAACAATATAATCTTAAAGGTATATATAATAACATAAAAAAATATACTAAAAGCCATTACTAAGATTGTTTTTTAAGCTTTTTAAGAGAATGTAACCAATTTAATAAATAATTGAATGGACGACGAGACTCTACAAGATAAATATAATAAATTTAATATAATTGGTTTTCAAAAAAAAAAAAAAATTATGCGATATTTATTTACCTGAATAAGTAAAAGAATTTAGCAACTTGGACCTTCTGTTAGTATTAATGGATCTAGGAACTTCATCAAATTCCAATAATCTACTATGATAAACAGCTTCAGGATGACTAAAATAAAGAAGAGGAGTAGGAGTGAAAGTAGAAGAATTTCTAGAAATCTCATCACAACACTGAACATTAATTTCCGATAATTTATCGTTTTGTAAATCATTCCACCATTGAGTTAATAATTCATTTAATTCTTTAGCAGAAGGTCTGTCAATAGGCTTCTTTTCCCAACACCTTTTAATTAATTCTGTCAATAAACTCGGAGTATGCTCCGGAATTTCTGGTCTTGTCCCTCGACATATTTCAGCGGCCAACTCACTATCATGAGCAACATTATTAAAAGGCGGGAATCCCGATATAATCTCATTCATCATTATACCAAAAGCATAAATATCACTTGCTTTGGAAAATCTTTTGGAGTGCAATACTTCGGGTGCTAAATAAGGCAATACCCCATAAATTTCTTCTTTATCCCTTAATAACGAAGTAAATTGAATCGTTGGTTTTTTAATACCAACATCAGTAATAATGGTTTTTCCTGTTCCCGTCCTTAATATATTTCCCACATGAAGGTTATAATGTATGAAACCTGATTCATGCATCCACTCTAATCCTCGTGTTATGTTAGAAAGGATATTCAACTTTCCATACCAATTCATTGTGTTGAAACTTCCATTCAGGTATGTTCTAATACTTCCTTGAGCCGAATATTCCATTACGATCATATAATCATTTGTTTCTGGATATTGTGTAATTCCGTAATACTGAATGATGTTACTGTTATCATGTAACTGTAAATGTACCTTTACAATCTAAATAATAATAATAATAATAATAAAAAGAAGAAGAGACAGTTAATAGCTGTGAAACGATAAAGCATTGTATTAGATATTCAAAGATTGGAGATGGCATACTTGATTGAGAAACTCCATAGTGATAAACTGAGAATTATGTAATCGTTTAAGTGCAACCTCTGTTCCATGACGTTGCCATTGTTCGAGCTTCTTATCCCACCCTAAAATATATCCATCCGACCAAAAAGCAGAATATACCGTACCAAAACCGCCTTTCGACACGTATTTTACATCTCTAAACTTATCAAAGGGTATCCATTCCAACACATACTTACTACTCCTTGCCGATAATTGAGCATCTCTTAGCATCTTATTTACATTTTCGTTTCCACTTGACCAATTATCAAATTGAGAACGAAAATGTACCGAGCTACATGATCGACACCAATTTTTTTCTCCGGTATTCAATTGACCACACTCTGTACATTTTCCAAAAATTTTTGGTAATTCTTTTTCAGATGTTGAATTTATTTGAATTGATGATTCCCTTTCTTTTTCTTCTAGTAATTTTGCTGACGTTATTGACTCGGCCTCAGAATTACCACCAACCAAATAATCATCATGATGTTTAACTTCATATGTTGAACGTGAAGAAGTTGTTCTTGATAATTTAGTCGAATATAAATGCGTCGTTGCTTCTACTTTCTCTTCTTCTAAAGGTTTTATTTCTTTCTTTATTGTGGTCGTAACATTAACTACACGAGTTGCAGACATTGTAATTTATCTATAAAATAAATTTAATATTTTTAATTTAGAATTATGGTAAAGTAAAAATAATTTAATAATTAGTTACCTTAATAATTATACCCAAATTCTTTTAATTATTAAAAGAAACAATGCTTTATATATTTTCGATAATTTTGAAAAACTGGAAAAACAAGGTTTTTGATACTGACACCAATAGTGATTGAAAATCAAAAATTGGACTAGATTCGATCAATTTTAATTACCATTGACCTGATAACTTTGGCTAGCTCAAAAATGGGAGCGTAAAAAAAAAAAAAAATCGACGAAAAATTTGAGGATAAAAAAAAACGAAAACGAAATATTTAATAAAGCCACACACTTTATATGCAATTTTTTTTTCTTTGGTTTATATAAGTTTAAATAAGAAAATAAGATGTTCTACATAGTAATTTATTATTTAGGGAATTTCTAGGGAATTTCTAGGGCGTTTTCTTTTTGTCGTAATCTCATGATTATAACTTTTTGTATATGTCTAAAATGGGTTCATTATTAATGCAAGTTATTTTTATATTTGATAATTTCCAATTCAACTTGTTTTTTTTATAAAAATGTGAGGATATTCATGCTGATCATAGCAGTATGAAACTTGTCTTTTCAGGATAAGTTTTTTTGTTTCCGAGTTGATCTATGTTGCTGAATTTTTATGACTGCTAACTATTTAGATAATGTAGATCAATTCGGCCAATTTTGTTTTCTTGGAGTAGTATTTCACTATTATATTATTAATTGAAAATATTTACGTTTTCAACATAAACATAAAGATCTGATCATAATAATAACATTAGCAAAGATTTCAATACAACCAACATCCAAAAAAAAATTTTTGAAAAAAATTTCAAAATTAAACGTTCATTGTCATATAATAATATTATTAATTACCCTCTTAATTAATTTTACTTACAGATATTATTGGTGTATAACATTCTCCTTTCGATAAAATGTATGGGGAAAAGGTCGATCATCACGAAAAAAATTCAAGCTGAAAGACGACCTAAAGAAAAAAAATACAATAAATCAGTCGTTCGCTATAAAATAAATATTACTTTTTTACTCCGATAGTGTTCCAAGCCGAAAGAAGTGTCTAAAAAAAACTCAATCAAAAGGGTTAAAGAAAAAAATTATCATACAAAAGGAATACTCTTTCGGTCACGTGATTCCGTTCCGTATAAATAAACAAAAATAAATCGTTTCAAGTCTATCAAATTATAAAAAAATGAGATATTAAAAAATGAATAAAAACAATCAAAATAAATTTTATAAATAAATCACATTAAATATCTTGTATGTACAGTAAAGTTATTTTTTAATTTTTTAACAAAACACTTACGGATCAACTTGTAATTATCATAAGAAAATCGATTAAATGTTTTTATAAAATTAAAAATTCTATACATGACAAGTTTATTTTGTAAGTCAATTTTTACCGTCAAAACTATTGCACAAGTGGGTTGAAATTGAGAATAACTCGGTTAAATACAAAAAAATTACGAGCAAAAGCGCAAATTATTGAATGGAAACTACATCTATTTTTTCAGACATTATTGTATATAATGTTTAGGTGCCATCTTGACAATATTTAAAACATGAAAAATTAAAAAATTCTAATTTTAAGTTAGAACCACCGACAAGTGTACACATGCGATCATTTCAAATTTGATGCTTCGGATGATGCTATAAACAAACTTTCAGGCTTGTCATAATTATAATTATATATTAACTAAAATTTAATATAAAAGTTACGCTGTATTTCAATTTGAAATACAAAAGTTAGTGTAGAGCTGAAAATTTAAATGGCGTCGATTCCATGAATTTTGCGAAGCCACAAATTTTCGGGCGAAACTTTTAGAATATATTAGAATATATTATTTAACCATTTAAGGATCAATGAATATCATTAAATGAATGGTAAAAAATTTTATAAATAAATTATTAAACGTTTGTAAAGATATATTTTCAGTATATAGATTTTTCAATCGGAACTATTAGATTGATTTCTGCACTATATTAATTGCAAAATTTACTTCTAATAAATGTTATCCAATAATCATATGATCTTTATAAAAATTAGTATTTTATTTCTTTATAATGTAATATAATGTAGGAATCGGCAAAACGACAATTTTGAGATATTTTCGTATGGATGATTTTATATAATATCAGAATCTTTTATTAGGGGACAGCAAATAATCAACCATTTCAGGTTGAAATTCTTTTTAAAATAAAATTTCAGATGAGAAACGAATAAAAGTAATCGAAATGCAATTATATTGTCGACTACTTTAATGCTGTATTACTAGAATAGAACTTATAAATGATTTAGGTCGTTACAGTAACATTAAGATAAATTACCTTTTACTTTTAAACTTCAATAAAAATAATATGCAAAATAATATTTAAATCATTAATTAAATTAAAAAAATTAAAAAAAATTATATAACCATGCAAATTAAAATGAATGAATTAATTTATCAAATAAAAAGAGAATGAATAAATTTATTTATAGGGTGAGGAATTAAGTAATTGGTTAGGATTCGGAAATTGATAACATCGTGTAATAGGGTATTATCCGGCAATTGGATATGATTCAGCAATTGGCTCTGATTCAGCAATTGGATATCCTCGTCCCGCAATTGGGTATGAATCGGCAATTGGCTCTGATTCAGCAATTGGATATCCTCGTCCTGCAATTGGGTATGATTCGGCAATTGGCTCTGATTCAGCAATTGGATATCCTCGTCCCGCAATTGGGTATGAATCGGCAATTGGCTCTGATTCAGCAATTGGATATCCTCGTCCTGCAATTGGGTATGAATCGGCAATTGGCTCTGATTCAGCAATTGGATATCCTCGTCCTGCAATTGGGTATGATTCGGCAATTGGCTCTGATTCAGCAATTGGATATCCTCGTCCCGCAATTGGGTATGAATCGGCAATTGGCTCTGATTCAGCAATTGGATATCCTCGTCCTGCAATTGGGTATGATTCGGCAATTGGGTAGGATTCAGCAATTGGGTAGGATGCATCTCTTTTTAATGGAGCAGCATTGACGGAAAGCGAAGCCAACAAAATGAGTGCAAAAGAGATTTTCATGATTCTTTGTAAAATAGTTTGAAGTTTAAAAATGATTTTTTTTTTGATTCCTTGAATTGATATTAATAAAGTAAGCCGAAACCGCTGCTTTTTTATATGAAATTAAAATCTCCAGAATTTCCTTTTAAATCTTAATATATCGCACTTACTTAGGTGGGAAGAAAATGTTAAATTTCGTATTCATGAAAATCTTAATTATTTGTGCTACATTAAAATAAACAAAAAAATGTAGATTAGTTATGGCATTCATAATCATTTTTTCTCGAAAGGTTATAATTTATGATTATCTCCTTATGAGAACGTCAAAAAAAAAAATAAAAATAATAAAAATTTTTTTGTACATGTGGTTATTGATAAACCGGTTCCATATCGAGGCCCTTTTTGCATAAACATAAATGAAGATCCGGATTTGGAAATCTTATGATGCTAAGTCGTCGACCTCAGCTTCGAAAACTGGTATAACCGAGAGGATCTCTAACACGGTTCCTGTCCAGAACCTGATGTTCCGCGGGAACAGATGATTTACCATGAGGATGTTATCAGGATAAAAAACATGGTGCATGCATAAAAAAAAAAAAGAATAAATAATTAGCTTCATCTAAAAAGAAGTTGAATAATATTAAGAAAGGATTAGTTTTGATCATAAACTTTAGTCATATTCTAATAAATCTTATATTAAATGTGACGGGAAAGTATAATATCATTTTTTAAAGGATAAAAATGATTTATTTTGAATCGGTCGCAGTTTATTTAAACTTGTGCATATGTTTGAAACTATAGTTTGTATTGTATATTTATTGATCGCCTTGACATAAATTTTATTTCGGATGTACAGATGAACTTTTTGAATGGTGAAACTTACTTCGCATTTTAAAATAATTACTTTCTCGTAATGAAAATGTAATTCTCGAGAAAAGCTAAGGGTTCCATTGATAAAAAATTGAACCAAAAAAAAGAATAAAAAAAAAAATTTTTTTTTTTGCAACATAAAATATTATTTACGAACAATTTTTTTTTTCTTTTTATTTTTTTTATCTACCTTAATCTTCGCAGCATCATAACCGTGGCAAGTGCAAAAAGACGTAAATATTTGGGTATGAGCCAATTATATAATTAATTAAATTATATAAATTAATTTACTTTATACTTTTTTGTCGATTCCTCATAGTATGACGATGATACAATGATTTGTCTTAAAATGGTTTACCCGTCTATATCACTCCCAATTTTGGCTGCTATCTGAATTCCTAATGTCAATTAAATATTTTTGATTTTTGCCTTTTTGAATTATTAATACTAACTGCAAAATTAATCTTAAACGACGGAAATTTTTATCTCATTTACACGGATTCGTGAAAGGCACATTTTCACGGAATTTTTACAAAAGCCACGGAGATATTCAATCAAAAATTTTTATAAGGTTTTAATTGATATTTTTTTTTATAATATTATTTTTAAAACTTGGTCAATTCTAATGAAAAAAAATAATTATTTTTGTAATTATACTAATTAAAATTAAGTTATAAAAAAATAAATATCTTTGTACACCTTTAAAAAATCTTACAGCTGTGCTGCATATTACTGCGCCGCTCATACTTTCGTGATTGACAAGAATTCAGCGATAAAGAATTTATAATTATAATTAAATGTTTAAAATAAAATAAAAAATTTAATAGAATTAATATCACTAGATTTTGATTTAGCAAAACGACAACAATTATAATCAAAATTACAAAATGTATTAAAATAATGATAATTTTTAATTAGGTCTACGCAAATTTGGATTTTCGGTTCACGTTACACGGCCGGGTCACTTTTTTGGATTTCAATCAAAAAATTTTAATGGCGGATAATTTAACCACTTGGCTAGCCTGAGTTTGCAAAGTTTTAATTACTTCATTAAAAGGTTCGCCCCGGAAGTTTTGTCTAAACCAGCAGTAATTATTTCTAAATTTTGATGTTAAATTATTCAAGACCTTAACAAATCCTTCACAAAATTGAATTTCATCAATAAAAATGGTTTCTATATTATATGTATCACGAGATTGAAGTATAATTTTAGGGGATCCTTAACCTATACCCTTGGGTATCTTTATCTTACATATGATTGGCTCAAAAAATGCAAGATTCAGTGTAACAATCATAGAAAAATTTTATCATTTTTGAAGAATATTCGTTTTCATACTTTATATAAAGATCGTTTTTAAACATTAAATAATTTATATTTCAATAAATATATATATATATATTATTTGTAATTTCAATTAAATATGAAATAAAAAAATAAAAAACACAATTTATATCATTACAAAAAATATAGCTATCTTAATACAAATTAATATCTGATCAGTTTCATACTTGCTGAACGATCTTTCTTAGTCTCCTAAGACAAGTTTCATTTGACCAAACTGGTGTTATTTATTATGCTGAGAATTGAAAAAATAAACGTGACACAGTGTAAAATATTAAATTCGTCAGGAAATAATTACAGAGTTAGGACCCTATTCATTTCTTGATCAGATCGGATTGATTGAAAATTAAGGTCTTATGTGGATGCAATTAGGAGTTCGATCAATGTGAACAAAATTTTTGTTGTTTTTAACACGCACATTCTTGTAAAATAAGCTAGGAAATGGAAACCGTTATGAGTCTGAAGTGAAAATTTTGTCTATTTATTAAAGTCTTACTATTCGTAGAGTTGCAGTTTAGGTTATATTAGTCAGAAAATAATAAATTTATAATTTAACACTTTTATTTATCTGTTTATATGATGTGACGAGTGCATCTTAATTTTATCGATCTGCTCAATCAAAAATTAGAAAATTTGTGCTCAATTATAACTTCAAAGAGTAGTTACATTTTTTTTAATCGATCCAGTCAATCTAGAAATGAGCATGGCTTATAATTTTATTAGAAAAAAATACTATTTTATCAAAAAATGAAATTATAAAAAAAACGTGTTTATTAATATTATTCCATAATTGAGCAAGTTATTAAGAATACTTTTTTTAAATATTTTAAGATATAAAAGATATAAAAATAAATAGAGAAATGATTAATTCGTAAAACAGATAAAAAACAAACAATAAATAAATCAGTAATATAGGAAGAATAGAATAATATCATAAACTTCTGGAAAAAGTTAAGATTTCCCATAATTTTATTGGCATAAATATTTATAGTTAAAACTTTATTTTATTGTATTCTTTTATTATTCAACATTTTTCTGTTTGCTTGATTTTACAAATTTTTATTTTCAACTGATATATTACAGTTTTCAAAATATGTAAAGTAATTAGTATAATATAATATTGATATGTATCTTGCCAAAAAATGTATTATGATGAAATCATTAATAATTTGAATGTACTAAATTACAAAATTTGCATACTACAAATCAAGTAATAAGTATTAAACTGATATATATTCAAAAAATCTTTTATTTTTGTTTTTTTTTCAATAAGTAAATCTTCCATTCTTTTAAAACTTTAGAATTATGACTTATTTATATATACATGATAGGTATTTTAATTTTGAAGTGATAAAATGATTTAAAGATAAAAAGTTCATAATAAAAAAAAATATTATACTTTTGATTAGTTAACCTTATCAATTATATGATATAGTTTTTATCATAAAATTTTTTTATTACAGCTACTTTCAAAAGTCACAGGACATTAATAAATTCTAGTCATGTCAAGTTGTCAGCTTGTCGGCCTATCGGCTTGTCGGCTTGTCAGTGATCAGCAATATTCTTAGTAGTTTTTGATTGTGTAACTTTTGTCTATAAAATCTTATGTACTTGCATATCTTGTGCATTGTATTCATTCTTTTTTATAGCTATGAATTTTCGTCTAAATGCCTGTCCCGCTTGTCTTATTTGCATAACTTGTAAAAAAACCTATGGTGATAATTGTTTATGTATAGCTAAAGAAGTTATTTGGAAAA